TGTATGTGTTTGTGTATGTGTGTGTGTATGTGAGTGTGTGTATGCGTTTGTGTCTGTATGCGTGTGTGTGTATGTATGCCTGTGTGTGCGTACGTGCGTGTGTGTGTGCGTGTTTATTGTGTAAGCTGAAAGACGCGAAAAATTATTGAAATATCTATTGCTCCACGGGTTCAGGGGATCTCGTAGTCGAGCAGTCTCGACTAGAGCTTTCTTATTTGTTTTTTTTTTCTTTTTTTTTTTATATATCCTGAACCCATTGATTATGGGAAATCAGGGTATAATGGTTTTGTGAAAAGTATATAACAGGCAGAAGTAATCAACGTAGACCCCATAAAGTATATATATTTTTGATCAGCGCAACGAGCTGAGCCGTCCGTCCGTCCGTATGAGTGCGTCGACCTTAGAAGATATGTGAGCTAGATAGCTGAAATTTTGCATGCATACTCGTGTATACCATACTCAGTACGAGTTTATCATATTTTTTGGATAACTCATTTGATTTTTTTTTTATGGAGAACAATCAATAAATTGATTTTGCTTTTGTAAGCCTAATTTGAATACTATCAGACCTGGAGACTTTAGATTCATTGTGTATATATATTTAATAAATGCGAAGATTTTGTAGTTTACAGATTTTGGATACCACGCCCCCTTCGCCATCAATTAAAAAAAAAAACGTATTTCAAGTACTAGAGACTTGTGCTTTAGAATATAGACAAATTTAAACATTATCAACGATTCATTAAGACTGTCGGTCTACAAGAGAAATTATTCAACAAATAAATTCTCATAATATTGCCCACACTGCAGCGCAGCCCAAGCCCAGTCGCTGCATACTGCGCAGCTAGCAGAGAGTCTGGTTATGCGTATGTGTAGTTGCATGTGTATGTATGTGTGAATGAAAGAAGTGCAGAATGATTAGAATATCAGCTTGCAGGGTTCAGGGTATCTCTTTGTCGAGCAGTCTCGACTAGGAGAACGACGGAACGATACAGAAGCCCCGTCCGATTGGATGTTAGCTGCTAGTCTAAGCTTTTGTAGCTTGGCACGTTTTAAATATATTACAGAAGCAAGAAAAGTTCGTTACTTTCAAGGACTACATATTCTGCATATCAGCTTGCCAATTTTTAATTCTATTTACTTGTGTTTTATTTGCCTTAGGTAGCTTAGCAATATGACGTAATGTTCTATAAAGTGTTTATTATTTAGTTAGATTAAGTAGATCACCGATACTAAATAATGAAAAGATCTTAAACATTTATAACTATATGGTACTTGAAATAATGAATGGATATATTCTAGCTACTAACTAAGTCTTTATTGGTTAAATTCAAAGGCGAACAATTGTCAAGATATATAAGTTTATGCATATACATTTGTATTTGAGTTAGTCTAACTATATAATGTGCAATACATCAAATATTTAAATATAAATACATATTACAGATATTATTTTTGTATTTGATTTAGAGTCCTTTAACAACAGGATCAAGCAAACTGGAAAAGAAAATTTGACTACGTATTTATGACGCCTTCATTTTATTGCATTTACCCATCAGGGCTCCGCAAAACTCGATCAGTTAATGCGCATTAAAACCATGGACAGAGTGCATAAATAAATATTTTTGGATTTTCCATGGCATAATATGTATATTGATCCATCTGTGGAGAAGCTAATCACAGGTATCTAGCTGAATAAGTGTAACCAACGATCTTGAGCCAAGTAAACCACGACCCCACAGCATGCCAACTGCAGGCTTACAACTTTTTATAAGTACATTGAAAATGGGAAATCAGGCTATAAAGGTTTTGTTAAAAGTATGTTGCAGTCAGAAGAAAGCATCACATACCCCAAAAAGTATATACAGTAGAATCCCGATAATTTGAAATGGCAAGGGGATCAGTTTTTTATACTCATTCACGAAAGTGAAATGA